GCACACACACACACACACACACACACACACACACACACACACACTCACACACACACACATATATATACATACACACATACATACACACATACAGACACAAATACAAACACAAACACACAAGCACAAACACAAACAAACTCAAACATACAACAAACAAACACACACAACCACATACACACACTCACACCTCGCGCACACGTGACAAAGGATAGCCTAGACACAATTTACAACAATTAGCTGTCCCCGTGGTTTTATGTACCCCGCATAATTTAGCAAAATTTGATCATTTTTTGCATAATTTCTGTTTATTTTCCTTTCTCATTTTTTGTTAAAATTAACAGAATCGCATAATTTCAGATTTTTGGGCTCAGTTTGCATAATTTCAAAATTTTTCTTGCATAAAACGACGGGGACAGAATTAGGAGCCAGACATCCGACAATTCCTGTGAGGGCCAGCCAGTACCGAGTGGGATACAAAGTCCCAGCAGAAAAAGACCGAAATACTTGGTTAAAAAAATCTCCCCACTAAGGAATCGAACTTAGATCAAATGTGTGCGACAGCAAGGCGCCGAACTGCTACACCGTACAACGCCTGTTATTTTTTTTATTTTTAAAAATTCTCTCAGTCCAGCCTTGCCCAAACAGGCAATGTTGAAACCCGGATTCTAAATGATCTAATAAGCGTCGACAGGGGTTTAAATCATCTTCATCTTTAAGAATTTTTTTCCTCTTCAGCAAATTGCAGTTATTGTGTCGATATAAGTAATAATTAAAAAGAAAAAACGCCCCACACACAAACTTTGAACGGATACAAACAGTCATCGTTGGTGTCTCCTGTGTCGTGTCTCTTGTGTATCAGGGCTCAAATCTCCTTTCCAACTATTCTTTCCATCGTACATTTGTTCTTGCACGTAGAGATTCTTTCTTTGCTTTACCGGGTAGTTGTTTGTGGCCTTGTTTTTGATGAGTGTATAAACTATGATAAAGTATGATAAAGTCTGATAAAGTTTGATAAAGTATGATATTAATACTTAATTCTCTCAGAGGAATATTTCTCTCTCTCTCTCCCTCTCTCTCTCTCTCTCTCTCTCTCTCTCTCTCTCTCTCTCTCTCTCTCTCTATTATGCCGATGTGCTTCTCTTTACTCAAACTAACCAACTCATTTTTCACCAAACATGTATCATTTCTTCGTTCTTCCCTATCAAACATCTATCGTCCTTATCTCTCCTCCTTCTTTCCTATCAAACATCTATCGGTCTTTCTCTCTCATCCTTCTTTCCTGTCAAT